CACTATGTATTTTTCTATGTATTGGGCTGCACTACCAATGAGAAACATGGAGAAATAAGTCCCTGACCCTTTGTTTCAAAATCGTGCCACACAAACCTGCATAGTGCTGCAGCAACACGCAGTTTGGTGCCCACGAAAATGCACCACAGGTACCAAAATTAGATTCAGACCTCTGCTGGAAGAAAATTTTACTGACCAGACCTTGGTGAATTTTAATTCACTACTCCTGCTATATTATATGGGAGGTATTGCAAGAACTTGGCCAAATAATAAAGAAAATACAAATTTAAAAAAAATCGAAAGCTGGAAATTAAAAACAAACAAACGAACAAAAACAAAATGGCAGCTGGAATTATCCTACTCTGGAGAAACCCAGGCCAAGAACTTGCCATTTGGAGGTGCACTATGTCACGATCGCGGCGTCAGACCCCAGACCTTCTCACCCAAACTCGTGACCGAAGGGCTAGGCGATCTAAAACCGCGATGTGACGTGCGTAACAATGCCACACCCAGCTGCACCCTGCACAATGATTTTCCAGCTAATGGATACAGATCGATGTACCGGCAGCCTGAGCGATTGTTACTGGGTCAGGTTAATTACACAATTAACCCTTCACACTGCCACCCTCTCCTTTTTGTACAGAGAAAGAGGAAACTCGGCGTTATCCGCTATAACACTATAATGATTGAGATAATCGTCTGTATAAAACGGTCCTCAGGCCGGTTATACAGAGATTTAAACAACCACAGTATCGTCTCTTTAGAGGCAGGAATTCGTGAGTTGCAATACAGAGCTATAGAAAAAGTTCAACACTTTCAGAAAGAAAGATTTATTACTAAAAGGTCAAACAGGAGCAATAAAAATATTTACAGAACAAAGATGTAACTATGATGTATATATACAAAGAACCATAGCACAGCAAAGAGATATCAGAAAGAGGTGAAAGGGTTAAAGTACTTGCCAAAGTCCTGGGTTAGCAGATCCAAGTTTCAGAGCAGAAGGTTGCTTTGATGTCCCTATGTTACGATGGACAAAATGGGAGAATTCTTCAACTTCTTTTCTCCTGGGCCTGACAGCCTGTTTTAAAGTCCCCAGCAGGGGGGTGGCTCTGCAGTCAAGGGCCAATCTCCACTTAGGGTGTGGAAATATGGGTGGATGCCTCAACTAGAGCAAAAATCTCCCATAACTCATATTTGCCTATAAAACTTTTCATCTGCACAAGTGACAGTCCACCCACGGGTAGATTATTATGCAGACAAGTCTGAGGATTAATTAGAAATGAATTATGAAATTATATACTGCATGGTTCACGAGATCTATGTTTCTGCTTCCCTGAGTGTCCGAAACAAGGCGAGTGACCCATCAAACTGTTTGTCTGCTCATTGGCCATCTGACGAGGTGTCCGGTTTTTATGTATGTCTGTCATATTCCAAGATAAGAGACATAGGGGAAAAATGGATTTACCAGAAGTTATTTGATTCTGTCACCTACACAGAGTTAGGTTTTATGAGGTTAGAATCTCTTTTACCTCCTGAGAAAGTTTGCCTTATCTCATAGGTGTTACAATTGGCAGGTTCTGTGGACAGAGAGACTCCAACTCTCTTGGGGGCTTTTACAGCTCCTATGACCCTCCTGTGACATTCCTAACACACATACTGGCCACATGTCCCTGGGCCTCTCAGGAAGGGAGGGGGGGGGGAAGGAGAATAAGGGAGAAATGGATACTCTTAATAAAATGGAGTCTGTGTCCTTCACTGTGTGTTGCGCACATTTGCGACACACTGTACATCCATTATAAAATGTTTGTTGCTATTGTCTCTGAAACAATACACTCTAATGTGCTTTGGTATATGTCCCCCATTGCAGTAATTAGCTACCCATGTGTTTTTTTTTTTTACAATCCCTTGCCTAACATCTTTGACAATGATGTAACTGTTGTGCGCATTAAGCACATGGAAGATGAAGGTGACAGCCATCTTATCAGGTCTCAGCCATTTTTGTTTCATGAGCCCAGTTATCTTAGCCCCTCCCTCCTTTTGCAATATATGGAATGCATAGCCTTAACTTTTAACACACTTCCAAAGAACCTGTTATCTCAACCTAGGGACAGCAGACACCAGCACATAGGCCTTGGTCAGAGCTGTAAGCAGCTAATTGAGGCCTAGCAGGATGTCTGTTTCTACGGACCATAAAAAACTACAGATTAACCCTTCCCTCTGAACTCATGTAAAACAATAACAAAATCTATCCGTTCTGTCACACATGATGTGTAGGGTAATTAAAGCACTAGGAACACATAACATTCCATAAAACGTCTACTTATAAGGCAGCCAGGCATGGGCGACCTCTCTGAGACCTCTGCCCAATTCACAATTTAACAAAATCTACACACAATTCATAAAATCCAACAGGACCAAGACACATTGATATTAAGTATATATTTGAATGGGAAATACCATAATGAACAAATGAAGGTCATACATGACTAAGTTAGCACATAGGAAAGGGGAGGAAGCAGTCTCCTCCCTCATGGGTGACAGACCCATCTGCAATATTCTGTGTTTGGTATCCCTGGACAACAAAATATAATGCTGAACAATAATCTACCAGTTTTCAGATTGTAACCTGTACATAGTGGAAGATATTAATATTAGTATAAAACTGTGTGTAAGGGAGCGCCACGATACAGTCATAAATGTGGTGACCTCCAAGCCACCACCCCTAAACCAAGTAATTGGTCAGATGGTCTTTGTCAAGATCCCTTTGATACAACAGAAAAAGGAAATGTCAGGACCCTCTGACATCTCTCGTTTTAACATCAACCAAGGGACACCTAACTGGACTTGAGATTGGACTGGAATTAGACTCTGCTAAAAGCAAGCACTTCACAAGTATTCTTAATTTTCAACTTTTTTTTATTTCTCTGTTACTTTATGGTTTCTTTATTTTTTGTAACACCTTTTTTCTGTAAAGATTTTATTTTCGCCATTTTGACCTTTTCATTATTAACCATTTTTGAAAAGTGTTAAAACTGTCCCTATGGTTTTTAATGCAAACTAAAGAATCCCTGTCTCTTGAAGAGTGACAAGTCTCTGAATATACCTGTCTTTGGTGACAATGTGTGTGTACAGATGTTTATTTTTCATATTTGTTATTGCTAAGATTATGAGTTTCTGCCCTCTCTGTCAAAAGGTGGTGGTGGTAGCTTAACCACTAGCCTACAGGGCACTTATACCCCCTTCCTGCCCAGGCCAATTTCCAGCTTTCAGCGCTGTCACATTTTGAATGACAATTGCGTGGTCATGCAACACTGTACCCATATGAAATTTTTATCATTTTTTTGAGACAGATAGAGCTTTCTTTTGGTGGTATTTAACTGCATGCCGCCCAGCCACTGTACATATACGGCGGCAGGGCGGCACTCACAGGCAAAACCACGTTTTAAAACGTGTGTTTTGTAAACAAATAGGGGGCGCGCACGAGGCGCGCCGCCGCCCTATTTGTCCCACGGTTCACCACCGCAGATGTCCTTAGCGGCTATGTCCCGGCGATCGGCGGCAAACAGTGACAGAGAGCACAGCTGCAGTAGCTGTGCTGTCTGTCACTTCCCTGTCAGCTCGAGGATGAGCTGATCGAGAAAGAACAGTTTCTCTTTCTTGATCAGCCTTGTCCAGCCCAGTACACACCCCCGCCCCCTAGTAAAACACTCTCATCACTCCTATAACCCATCCCTGCAAAATAAAGTTAACCCCTTCCTCCCCATTGCCATTAGTACAGTGTCAGTTTTTTTTTTTTTGCACTGATCACTGTATTAGTGTTTTTGGGGATGTCAGTGACCCCAAGTCAGTACCCCCCAATGTCAAAATGTCCGCCGCAGTCCCGCCATAAGTCGCTGGTCGCTGCCATAAGTCCCTGATCGCAGCCATAATTCGCTGATCGCCGCCATTATTAGTATAAAAAAAACCCTAAAAATCCCAGTATCTTTCGCGCCATTTGTAAACGCTATAACTTTCACGTAAACCAATTAATTTACACGTATTGGGTTTTTTTTTAGCAAAGACATGTCGCAGAATGCATTTTGGCAGAAATTTATGACTAAATTAGATTTTTGCAATTTTTTTTTACTGGACATGTTTTATAGCAAAAAGTCCAAAATATTGTTTTTTTTTCCTCAAAATTGTCAGCCTTTTTTTTTTATAGCGCAAAAAATAAAAACCGCACAGGCGATCAAATACCACCAAAAGAAAGCTCAATTTGTGGGGAAAAAAAAGGATGTAAATTTCATTTATGTATCATATTGCATGACCGCGCAATTGTCCGTTAAACTAGCGCAGCGCTGTATAGCAGAAAAATGGCGTAAATTGCAGTATTTATACCATAGTTTGTAGACGCTATAACTTCCACAAAAAGCAATCAATATACACTTATTGGGATTTTTTTTACCAAAAACATGTAGCAGAATACATTTTGGCCTAAATGTATAACCAACTTTGAGTTTACTATATATTTTTTATAGCTGAAAATAAAAAATTGTTTTTCTTTAAAATTTTTGGCCTTTTTTTGTTTATAGCGTGAAAAATAAAAAGCGCATAGGTGATCAAATTACACCGAAAGAAAGCTCTATTTGTGTGAAAAAAAGGACGTAAATTTCGTTTGGGTGCAGCATTGCATGACCGCGCAATTATCAGTTGAATTAGTGCAGCGCCGAGTAGCAAAAAGAGGCCTGGTCATTAAGGGGGGTAAATCCTCTGGAGCTCAAGTGGTTAATCACCTCTGGGATTTTTTTTTTCTTAAACAAACCCAAAACCACTAAAAATTTTGAAAAAAACTACTTTTTTTCTTAGTTTTTGTTATACAATTTTGTAAATAAGTGATTTTTCTCCTTCACTGATGTGCGCTAATGAGGCTGCAGTGATGGGCACTGATAGGCTGCACTGATGGACACTGATAGGTGACACTGATGAGGAGGCACTGGTAGGTTGCATTGATGGGCATTGACAGGCATCACTGATGGGCACTGAAAGGCAGCACTGATACATGACACTGATATATGGCACGGATATGCGGCACTGACTGACGACACTGACTGGCACTGTTAGGTGGCACTGATTGGCAGCACTGATGGGCGACATTGAAAGGCAGCTCAGATGGGCACTGATATGTGGCATTGATGTGCACTGGTATGCACTGATATGTGGCATTGATGTGGCACTGATGGGCACTGGCACGTGCCACTGATGGACACTGGCATATGGCACTGATGAGCACTGACAGGTGGCACTTCTGGGGCCACACTGATCATCAGGGCACACTGATCATCAGTGCCCTGATGATCAGTGTACATGTCCCCTCCGCGGAAAGCCGATTACCGGCTCTCCTCTCCTCTCGAGCTGTCAGCGTGACAGCTCAAGAGGAAAAAAAGGCCGATAACCGGCATTTCCGTGTTTACATGTGATCAGCTGTGATTGCACACAGCTGATCACATGACCAAGCCGACATGTTCGGCTCTTTCCGTGATCCACCGATTGCCACCCTGCGCGCTCCCTGAGCTGCGCTGCGTGTTCCCTGAGCCGCGCATGCGCAGTGAGAATGGTAGGACGTCATATGACGTCCTATCAGAACGAGAGAACCACCTTGCGCCTGTCATTGTACTATAGGGCGGGAGGAAGGTGGTTAAAGAGTTAATTCCTTACTTGCCTCAATGACAATCACTCTCAGGCTGCTTGCACCTACAGGTGAAACTCGAAAACTTAGAATATCGTGCAAAAGTTCATTTATTTCAGTAATGCAACTTACAGGTGAAATATATGAGATAGACTCATTACATGCAAAGCAAGATAGTTCAAGCCGTGATTTGTCATAATTGTGATGATTATGGCTTACAGCTCATGAAAACCCCAAATCCACAATCCCAGAAAATTAGAATATTGTGAAAAGGTGCAATATTGTAGGCTGAAAGTGTTCCACTCTAATCAGCTAATTAAGCCATAACACCTGCAAAGGGCTCCTGAGCCTTTAAATGGTCTCTCAGTCTGGTTCAGTAGGAATTACAATCATGGGACAGACTGCTGACCTGACAGTTGTGCAGAAAACCATCATTGACACCCTCCATATATTCCCAAAGTGCTGTATCAAAGCACATTAATAGAGAGTTATGTGGAAGGGAAAAGTGTGGAAGAAAAAGGTGCACAAGCAGCAGGGATGAGAGGATTGTCAGGAAAAGGCCATTCAAAAGTGTTGGGGACTTTCACAAGGAGTGGACTGAGGCTGGAGTCAGTGCATCAAGAGCCACCACACACAGACGGATCCTGGACATGGGCTTCAAATGTCGTATTCCTCTTGTCAAGCTGCTCCTGAACGACAAACAATGTCAGAAGCGTCTTACCTGACCTAAAGAAAAACAGACCTGGTCTGTTGCTCAGTGGTCCAAAGTCTTCTTTTCTGATAAGAGCAACTTTTGCATCTCATTTGGAAACCAAGGACCCAGAGTATGGAGGAAGAATGGAGAGGCACACACTGCAAGATGCTTGAAGTCCAGTGTGAAGTTTCCACAGTCTGTGTTGATTTGGGGAGCCATGTCATCTGCTGGTGTTGGTCCACTGTGCTTCATTAAGTCCAGGGTCAACGCAGCCGTCTACCTGGAGATTTTGGAGCACTTCATGCTTCCTTCCACAGATGAGCTTTATGGGGATGCTCACTTCATTTTCCAGCAGGACTTGGCACCTGCCCAGACTGCCAAAAGCACCAAAAGCTGGTTCAATGACCGTGAGATTACTGTCCTTGATTGGACAGCAAATTCACCTGACCTGAACTCCATAGTGTATCTATGGGGCATTGCCAAGAGAAAGATGAGAGACATGAGACCGAACAATGCAGAAGAGCTGAAGGCCGTTATTGAAGCATCCTGGTCTTCCATAACACCTCAGCAGTGCCACAGGCTGAAAGCTTCCATGCCACGCCGCATTGAGGCATTAATTGCTGCAAAAGGAGCCCAAACCAAGTACTGAGTACATATGCATGCTTCTACTTTTCAGAGGTCCGATATTGTTCTATGTACAATCCTTGTTTTATTGATTGCATGTAATATTCAAATTTTCTGAGATTGTGGATTTGGGGTTTTCATGAGCTGTAAGCCATAATCATCACACTTATGACAAATCACGGCTTGAACTATCTTGCTTTGCATGTAATGAGTCTATCTCATATATTAGTTTCACCTTTTAGGTTGCATTACTGAAATAAATTAACTTTTGCACGATATTCCAATTTTTCGAGTTTCACCTGTAGATTGTGTCCCCACGACCTGGAAAATCTTTGTGCTTGCAGCAGCTGAGAGTGGCATTGTTAAGTGATAGCGCGGTATGAGATTAGCTTGCCCTTTGTCACGAGTTGATAGGAAGGGCAGAGGTCAGAGGTAAGGCACTGAGGTTCATCACAAATGGCTGGAATTGATTATCAAGATTTGCCCCCCATATACTTCAGTGGGGTTCAAATTTATGTTCAGAATTTCCAGACTTTACACTGGGTTTGGCAAACTCCCATGTGAACCAAAGCTAGACACATTCTCCCATACACATCCCCAAAAACGGTCCTTTTTTAAGGCCTCAAAAATAGAGTCTGCTGAATCCCTGGTGGTGGTGTAATATATTATGTTAGTAATATGTCCCAGTTCACCGGGCTGTAATTTAACTTTTATTTACAAAGGCAGACAAATATAATGTCTGAGAAAGAATTGCCCTGAAATGTTACATTACTTTTGTGGCCTTATTGTTTACTGAGTAGCAAAGAGATATCAAAGGTTCAGGTTCTGTGTTTATTGGCAATGATCTCAATATATCAGGCATGTCAGCTGTCTCCAGTGTCTAATAACATGTTTTAGCTGCTCATGTGTCTCATAATTGGTTGCATTTTCTTTTTGTGCAGGTTTCTTAAATTACAGATATCAATCATGCCGGAACCGTGAGTAAACAAAAATACTTTTTTCTCAATTCCGAGTTTTTGTCTGTCCCGCTGTAACAGTACCATTATAACAATGTCACAGTAAGATAGGTTCACATCTTGTGTGTGTCAGGAATGTGTGCAAAATCTCATGCTTGTTCATCATGCACAGAAACACGTTGCCCTTTAGCAGATATGCGGCAGTGCCATTATTTGTAGCACGCACATGCATCTGCCAAGGCACCATGCACTTTGGGGCAATTTTGAAAAAGGAATAATATCCTCTTTTCTGCAGTTCTCATGCAAAGGGCAGCCCATTGAAATGAATACATCACCAATCACTAAACAACACATATATAAATGAAAATATCCCAGGGCATGTAAATGATTATAACCACCAATCTTATATGTGCACACATAAAGTGACACACTGAAACTGAAAGAAGTCCCATGTGATATAAAAATGAATAATTTTCTTACTTAAAGTGTCATATCCCACATATTTAGGCTGAATGCACACTGGGAGTTTTAAGAACGCTGGTAATGTTAGCTGTGTAACGTCCCGTCAAAAATGTGAGTTTTTCAGCATTTTATCATTAGCGGTTTGCCACGTTTTTTCAAGTTTTCTTGACCAAAAAAAAATGGGGGGGGGGGGGGGGATTAGAAAAACATCCAAAAACGCTGGTTTTCCACAATTTACAGGGTTTTGCCATGGTTTTCAGCGTAAAAAAATTTTTTTTTGCAGCCAAAAAAACTTTGATTACAGCCTATGTGTGCATGGACACATAAGATTACATGCTGGGGAGTTTACTGGCTATAGGAAAAAAATGTCAAAAGCCAAAAACAGCTGCTGTAAAAATGTCCAATGTGCATGAGGACTTGCTTAAAGAGGTGTCCATCCTTCATACTCCATCACACATTTGTGTTTCCTTATTCCCCATGTCCAGTCTTCAAGCACACAAACTCAGGGGAGAAACAAGCACACAATGCTCCACATAGTGTAAAAAAGCTTACGTTAACTTTATTTATTGTACGAATTGCACTCACAGATAAAAACACGCATTCAAATACCACAATATCCAGCAAACAGTGATGACATCTGGGTCACTTCCGATATGCAATGAGGTCATCAACAGGCTCCGCCCTACATGTTTCATCGTAAAAGACATCTTCCAGGGCATTGTGTTTAGGATGACATCTCCTAAAGGTGTTTCCAGTTTTATTTTTAATTTATTTTGCTTTTTTGTCTTTAATTTGGTTGTCATACACTAGCAATATTTTCCTGCTTTGAACAATCATTGAAATGATTGTTCCATTCAATGATTCATTCAACAATGACTGTTCAAAGAAGGAAAACCGTGCTAGTGTATAGCAACCAAGTCAAAGACAAAAAAACAAAACAAATTAACACAACACACAAGATCCAAAAGTGCCAAATAATTTTTCAACTGTTATCTGTTTCAGTGGCAACTCCAGACACTAACGAAAGGGGGGTTACTGCAATTAAATGGGTGGACATTTCCTTCCAATGCATCCCTGTGATGCTGATTGTTATCTTTATGTACAGCAAGCACAGTAGCCAGGGGCGGACTGACAACTCATGGGGCCCCCGGGCAATAGGGGATCATGTGGCCCATGTCCTTGCCCACACCCAAAAAAGCCTATGAAAAAAGACAATGAAAGGTACCAGGGGCATCTCATGGGGCTCCCTATTAACCCCGCAGTGCCCGAGTGCTCAAATGGTCAGTCCGCCCCTGACAGTAACACATACTTGAGAGAACAGTGCCTAATGTTTACCACATCTTTCTTGTACTTTTATAGATGTGAGAGTTGCATTGGTTAATTTGTTCTAAAGATCCTATGCTATAGACACTATAGTTACATAATGAAGTAGTCATACTGCATTTCATTAGGATTGATTCAGAAAGTCAGAGTCAAAGAAAGATATAAAGAAAACAATTTATTATCACCTCTGCTAGAGAGTTTGTTTTATTGCTGTTTGTGTCCACTTTGGAGGTATTGCCCCTTACTTTCTACAGAAAGTAAGAAAAACTAAGGACACAGATGGAGGCTGTAACATTTTCTCCTGCCAAAAAACATTATTCATAAAATGCTTTAATAATTTTTCAGGTTCAACAGACAGTTGCAAGACCTGACTTATTCAGGCACTCCTGCTATGCAGCACAATTTGAATCAGGGGTCCTCTAACTTTTAAGCAAAGGACCAGTTTAGCATCCATCAGAATGTTGGGGGCTGGACTGTGGCCAGTAGGAGTAAAAAATGTCCTGGTGTCAGAGGTCATGAGGGTAAAATAAAATTGCCCCTGCATCACTGGTTGGTGGGAGAAGAAAGTACCCTTGTGTTGGTGGTCAGCAGAAGTAAACATTTCCCAATGTCAGTGGGCAGCAAGAGTAAATGATGCTATTATATCGGTGGTCAGTAGGAGTAAAAAAAGGCCCCTGTGTCAGTGGTCAGTAGGTGAAAAAAAGGTGACATCAGTATTCAGTGGATGTAAAAATTTACTTATGTCAGCAGACAGTGGAAGTAAAAACATCCCAACTGTCAGTGGAAGGAAGAATGCCACATCATTTTTATTGTAATAATGCCCCATCGTTGGCTTTATTGT